GCGATGCCGGGGCTTTCCGGAAACCGCCAGCATATGCCCGTTTTGTAGGAACTCGGGCTTGACGTGGGTTCGGCGAGCTTGGCAAAGCCAGCGTGCCGCTTTGTGTCACAAGGGCTTCCTGCCCCTTGCTGGTAGTGTTGGACTTGTGGCAGAGGTTCTGCCTCCTGGCGTGCAATGGGCTGAGCTTGCGGCCTGCATCCTGGGGCGCAGGCTGCTCTTAGTCTGCTGTTGGGTGCAAGGCCAAGGTAGCCTGCAGTGATCCAGCAGCCTCGCCCTGTCACCGCCGGGAAAAAAATTGCTGTCTCTTAGCAATGGGATTTCATTCCCAGTTGCTATTTTCTGGTCTCACATTTGTAGCCCTTTCTGGCCCCGCAAAGCTGTAGGCTTTTTTCAACTGTGTCTCAAGTCAACCTTTTCTATTATCTTTGGTCCAAATGTATTTCAGAAGGTGTGATTGCTTCTTTCTGTCCATGCAGAAAAACTGCTTCCTAATTAATGTTAATCTGGTGGTATATAATAGTGGACTTGGAAGGGAACTCTGCCACTCATGTGGGCTGGGCATATGGATAGTTATGTAGAGGTTATGGAATTAGTTGTTGAGGGTGGAACTCCTGCTTAGTTAGGAAGAAATTGAATTTCCTTACTAATACACTTAAGCCATCTGAGATGACCATGTGAGATGTGGATGCAAGCTGCCAAAAGCAGCTGTGGTGTGTTTATCTGCAAAGTGAAAGAGCAGTGTGGTTATGTGTTGTTGCAGTTGCAAGTTATGTCTTTATACTGGGTCATGCTTTCTGCATTCTGTCAAACAGTGATGAAACAAATTGAAGGATTTTCTGTTTACAAAGTGTTAAAGTGTGTGTGTCAAAAGCCATCTAAGGAGCAGTAGTCAGAAGTACTGTATTTTATACAAACCCAGGATGATGCTTAGCTAGGTGTTTGAAGATAGTGTAGGAAAATCTGTTAAACCTGTATGAATACATCCAGGATGGTGTGGAGAAGATACTCTTCCACCATCGAGCTGTAGGCCATAGGAAGTAGTGCTTCTTGGAGGTGAATAGCCAGTACCTGTCAGGAAGAAGCCTCTGGACTGTGGGAATGAGGATTTGCAGAAAAGATTCAGACACAGGCTAGTAGTGTGTGTTAGGATGGAAAAGTCTGTTAAGTGCTGGTTCAGTTCTCTGCCACAGAAATAGCTCTAAGCTGTGTTTTTGAAGCCAGAGTAGCTGCTGGTGTTTCTTTTCTAGTACAATAGCTGACTTGTTCACAGAATGCACTATTTCTCTTCCTCTTGTAGCCTTAAATGTTAGACAAACGATTTTATAAACAAAAAATGCAGATAGTTAAAGTAGTTAGGGATTTCATATTTTGAAAATTAACTTTGCATTTTGCTTTATGTCTGTGAAATCTTTGGGTGTATTATTGTCTTTTGTAGATACAAGATACAAAGTAACTGAACTTCGTTTAATTCATATTTCAGGCTTCTGAATTTTGCATGAAAAGGAGAACATCAACTGAAAGCAATGAAATCTGTGAAAAGAAGACCAAGGCACAACAAATTACTCTAGAAGACATCTGTAACCCACTGAAGGCTCAGGATAAAAGTGAGTTGCCTGTAACCAAACTTTCAGTGCATTTGTACCCAATCAATAGTTTGTCATTGTCCAATGTAAAAAATTTGTTGGCAGATACTCTAGGAACTGTGTCTTGAATGTAAGGTACATCTCTGAAGAGCCATAATGAGCATACTAGTTATACTGTTAAAGCACCTTTTGGTGGCTCAGAAGCTAGGTATTTGAGCCTTGCTCCAGAACTACTCTGCACATCCCCTTCAGCTGACTCAGCTTCAACGGGCTGCTCAGTCAATGAAGTCCAGATGCCCAGGCAGAAATGCTGCAACTTCCTTTTATGTGTTGGTTTAACAGGTCTGTCTGAAGGTTGCCTTCAGACTCAGGCTGGAGCATGACTGACACCTGACAGCTTGGTGGAGTCTGCTGTGTGACTGCTGTACCTAAAGGCTGCCTTAAAGAAGAGAGCTCTAATGCAGCGCTCTTGACTGTGAAATGACAGCCACTTAATTACACTGAAAATGCCTGTGCGCTCTCTGGCTTTGAACCAAGAATTTAACAAATTAATGATGCTAGTAGAAAAACAAATCAGTGAATGTAAAGTTCATTACACTTTCACTTCATTAAAAAAAAATTATGGAGACTAATTCTTTCCAAAGACGGAATTGTAGTCAGTTGGTTGTTGTGATGGTTTGAAGTATCATTAAGGCACCATCAACTAGCAATACTGTCTGCTTAAAAACTGTACTGAAAAATACTGCTTGTCTTCCACTATTCTTGTCTAATTTTGTGACTTCGCAGTTATTAGCCCAGAAAATAATTGTGCTTCTTTTCCTGTGTATGGAGAAGCATACAAGTGGGGAGTATTGATTTTTCCAGCGAAGTTAACCAAGCTGGCTACATGTACGATTGTCAGGCTGGCAGAAATACTGCAGTGGGACAGAAGAAGGAATGTAAGGGGGAAACAGAGCAAAATGATTGCATTCTCTGCTTACTGATGTCATGCGTGTAGACATTCTGTTTTAGAAAATCAGTTGCTAATGTGTTTTTGTTGTGTATTTTTACTGAAGAAGAACCTCAGAAGTGTGAAAAGCCCCGTGTATGTTTACAGACACTAGACAGACTGAGAGAATTCTACAGTGATTCAGATCAGCAGTGTAACAGAGTCTATGAGGATAGTTTTCGGGAGAAAGAATCTCTGAGTTTGGAAGAATGTCCTGGTATTACTGGGAGAAGTTCAGAACTGAAAAACCCTCTTCAGTCTTGGAACACGAGCCCAAAGGTTTCTCAGAAGGTACGTAGAGCTTTGGTCCACTGCTGTTTATATTACCTTTATGGCTTAAAAAAGCAAGCTTTGGCACAAGACGCCTTTTGTGTTTTTGTGTTTTGTCACCAAATAACACAGCGGAACCCAGTAGACCAGTGCTTGTGTACAGACGTTTTCCTGGAACCCTTAGCAGGGTGAACAGAATGCCTCTTTTAGCTCTTCAGTGATATCAGTGCTCTCTCATTACTGCTCTTTTCAGAAACACTGGCAGTGTATCTTGTGGCTGTGAATGAACCTATAACACTGTAATAACAAATGTGTGGTGTGGCCCTTGGCTCAGCTTTCTTTCAGTGCTATCAGTTTTGGTATGGGCTGTAAAATTCCTGAAAACAGGCTTTCTTTGCAAAAATATGGTTTAGAATTATTACTGAGATGTAACTCAATTCAGTTGCTAACAAATCTGACTACTAAAGATACTGCTTGTTTTCATCCACAGAAGGTATATGTACCTCCCATAAAAAATTATCATTATGATACACTCATCAGCTTATGATACAAGTAGTAGTACCTTGCTTCTCCTTTAATTATGGGACTAATTAATGTCAGTTAATTGGTTGGGTTTTGGGGTCCCCTTGCTCAGTTTGAAGTATTCAGGTCCTAAAAAGCATCTCATGGCTCACTGTGGTGTTGTTGCACTGGGACTATGCTGGTTTTGGCTGGGATAGAGTAAGTTTCTTCATAGTATCTAGCACAGGGCTACATTTTGGAACTGTTCTGGAAACAGTGTTGATAATACAGAGATGTTTACCTTACTGCTGAGCACTGCTGACACAGTCAAGGCCTTTTCTGCTTTTCGCATCGCCCACCAGCAAGCAGGCTGGGGTTGTACAAGAAGTTGGGAGGGGATGCAGCTGGAACAGCTGGCCCTAACTGAACAAAGGGATATTCCATACCACATATGGCATCCTGCTCAGCATTTAAAGCTGGGGGAAGAAGGAAGTGGAGGGGACATGTTTGAAGAAGGAAGGGGGGACATTCAGAGTGATGACGTTTATCTTCCCAAGTATCAGTTTTGTGTGATGGAGCCCTGCTTTCCTGGAGATGGCTGAACACCTGCCTGCCCATGGGAAGTGGTGAATGGATTCTGTGTTTTGCGTTGCCTGTGTGTGTGGCTTTTGCTTTAATTATTAAACCCGTGGGTTTTTATCTCAACCCATGAGCTTTCTCCATTTTACTCTTCTGATTCTCTCCTCCATCTCACTGTGGGGGAGTGAACGAGCAGCTCTGTGGAGGTTACTTGCCAACTGGGGTTAAACCACGACAGGACTCAGCTGCTCTTTAACAAAGCTTTACATCTGGCTTTTTGAAGGAAGGAGGTTTGAAAGGTTGTGTAGTTGATTTGACTTTTCTCTGAAGGTCATGACCTTAAACTGAGGTGTCTGCATTGTGTGAACATCAGATCAAAGTAAGAATAATGAAGCGAGTGTTTTGTGGCAACGTATTTCTGTTGTGATAAGAGATTGAGATTATGTAGGTGTGGTCAGATGGAGAACACAGAAAACTGATTCCTTTTTTGTTCCTCTTTCTCAAACCCTTGTCTACCTGGAACTTCTTCATTTCTGTCCCTTTGTCTACCCAGTTACATTGACACCAGATGCTGTCCCTGCTGATTCAATCTGTAAATCACACTTCAGTATGCCTCACAGATGTTTGAGAACCAATTATAAATGCCAAAACTATAAAATGTATGTGTTTTATGCATGCATTTATGTGAAACATGCATGGGGAGTATTTTTTCTTTTATCTTTGTGACTTTCTCTTCTGTAACACTGGAGACCGCATGTGTCTGCTAAAAATGATGGTGTTTTGGTAACTGCAGTAAAAGGGTGTCTTTGGTGAGTAAAGGCACGTGCAACCCTCCCTCTACCAACCTGTGGGCCGAAGGTGGGTGTTCCTGCAGAATTCAGGTTTCTCTGTCTTTGAACAGACCTGTGCGTTAATCTTCCATGTATCAGCTGTTGCAGTATTTCTGCCTTCCCTTTCCAAAATCTATTTCCAGTGCACTAACACCAACGTGCTTTCTATATCAATACTCCTAAGTACATTCATACACTTGGATACTTGTTGCCAAACAGCGCTTGGGTGCAGTGGGTCGTAGGTAGTGAGATCATGACAGCTGTTAACTCTCCCTTCCTCCATCACGAGGCAGGTCAGCTTTAACCATGTGCAGAGAGACTCTGTAAGCAAGATGTGTGCAAAGTAAAAGTGAAGAGTAATTATTTCTTCACATACTCAGGTAGATAGTGAGGACTCATGATCTGCTTGACAAAGTGTTACTATCACCTTCCTCTTCCTGCTGTATCTCTGCTGTCCAGGCAGTCAGATGGAGAAGGGCTGGCCTGCCTTCCTTGGAATGGCTCATTGTAGATGTTTGTGTTTCGCTTTTCTTAGAGTTACAAGCTTCTAATGTGAGTAATTTTGTTCTGAATTCCTTGAGCTGCTAATTTAAAACCATCTTAACAATTCAACTTCCATGTGTGTTTTTACTTCTTTTACTTTCTTTCATGACCTTACTACACATGCTTTGTCACCACGATTTCTTTGTAAAATGAGACGAAGTGGCTGGCACAGACCTTGGATCGGAGACCACTTAACCCCTGGGCTGAGGATTTTGCAGACATCAAAGCACCTGGGGCCATCTGAGTTCTAGGCATGGTACAGCTTTGTCTGTGCTGGGCTTTGTTGTCTGCTTGTCAAATGGGTTATGTGTGCAAGTTCTGGGAATTTTGCAGTTCACAGTTAAAAATACAGATAAGTTATTTTTTTCCCCAGTGTTTTCCAACTTCATTCTTTGTACATTCCCATGACCCAAAGTATATGACTTGTACTATCTCTCTGTTTCTTCTGAGTTACCGTTGCTTCTAAACAGTCAGTTGACTGTTGCTCGTAATCTAGATGAGACAGTTTCTAGAAATGGAAGTCTACTGGATTTCATTGCAGATACAGAAACTCACAGCACAACCTGGTTGGTCGTGTTTTGTGTAGTCATAGGCTTTAAAAACTTGTGGAAGGTGTTGCCTTTTGTATTTTTTTTTTTTTTAACCAAATTTATCAGTACTTGATGAGGGACCTTGTAAGTGGAGTGTACCTTATCAGTTTTGTTCACTGCATGTCTGAAAGTCTGTATCCATCACTCTGCTTGCAGGACAGAAGACAAAGTTGTAGACCTGAAGTTGCTTGAGTAGCACAGGCTACCTAAGGTCATTGTAAATGATAAATTGCAGAGAGTGGGCTCAGAGCCTTAACTGTTAGGGGTTTTAGAAATCATGATAGATTTTCTGTGTTAAAGAATAAATTATTTTGGGAGGTTTGCTGAGCTTATGTGGGAAGGGCAGACTGGAGAAGAAATACGGTTTTGATGCTTGAGACAGTGAACTGAGACTCTTACTGAATGGGTTTATTTCTTGATTTACTGTGGTTTTTTTGAACATTAATCTCTGTGCTGCAGTTTCTCATCTGTAAATTGGCATGGTAATTCATCCTTATTTCTATATCTGGCCAGTTTATACTGCACAGTCTTTGCAGCCTGCATGTCTCTTGAGAGCTCAGGACACATCAGGGATCTATTTCAGCTGAGATATGAGGGCTGTTGTAAAGCAAGTCTAATAATTGATGCAAAATCTTGGACTTTGATGACTTCTAAATTCCTTTTAATTCCAAATAAACTGCATGGTGTATATACTACTTTAATAGTTTTGCTGCAGTCCTTGGGGCTATTTGCTGTAAGAACAATCTTTAGCTCAGTGTGAATCAAAGCCTGCAAGGGTGATTGATTTATGTGATAATTCCTAACTATACTTTTCCATCTTTTATTTACAGGAGGAGTTACGCTGTGATCTTAGTCAGTTTTCTGCATCTTTTAAGTCTTATGAAAATACTGAAAACACTTCAGATGTGAATCTTAATAAGAGAACCAAAACCATTTATACTCCCCTAGAACTTCAATTCATAGAAATGAAGAAACAGTATAAGGATGCTGTTTTGTGTGTGGAATGTGGATACAAGTATCGCTTCTTTGGAGAAGATGCAGAGGTAATTTTTGCCAGGTTTATGGAAAGATATTTGCATTATGTTAGTGTCGTACTAGGTCTGTGGCCACCTCCAGAAGGAAGACTGGGAGGGGGGATAAATTTTGTGGGTTGGTGGTGTTTTGTTTTTTTTTTTTAATATGAAATCAAGATGAAAAATCTCTACACGCTTAAATTGAAGACTATCCATTACTCATATGCTTTTACCAAAACAGCATTTATTATTTTGTAATCATGGTAGTGCTTTCTATCCTGCATATTGAGAACTTAAGATGAGGTCCTAGAATAATTACTTGTCAGAGTTAAAGTTGAAAAAATTTCAGTGGTTAATTCTCTATCACAGCCCAGAATTCTACTGGGAATATTTCAGTTTGGAAGACAGTGAAGGAAGTGGTGTAAAAGTAGATGAATATAGCTGATGTAGCCTGAGTGGAGGGAGCCTCTTGGATGCATGTTCAGGTGTGGCACCTACAGATGCCAGATGTGTACCAACTGGAGAGTACTTTGCAACAAACATAACTTGAAAGTGACAGCTCAAATGGTTCATAATGATTTTTTTTGTCATTTGTCCAAAAATCCTTGCTACCAACCTTTGATCTGTGCTACTTCCACACTTGAAACCAGTGAGAAACTTTGCCTAGTTACTGGGAATTAATTTTCCTGGTCACATTTGTGCTGTGTAATCTGTATACTCGTTTGCTGGTGCACTCACAGTTCAGAAATAGATACAGATTGTCCAGGTACACAGTTCAGTGTTTGACTGCAGTTCCTGCTTCCCTAATCAGTTGACACCTACCTTTTTTTCAAGGGGCAAAAAAGCTAATAGAATTCACATGTTGTAGTGTCACATTTTAACAAGTGTTGTTACTCTTTTTCTGTGAAGTACTTAATTTCCACTGCTGTTTGATACTGATTTTTTTCAGTATTTTAGTTGATTAGCTAGCTTAGTAACGTCTTTATAACAACAGTTAAATTAACTGTGGTTTTTCCGCATTTTTAATGTTATGAAGATGATTCCATTCTTTGAGTTGTGTTGCAGAATTTGTGTACTGTGTAGGTGATTTACCTCACAGTGGTAAAGATGAAGGTGCAGTGTAATAATGTGACCTGCGAAGCCCCTGTTTGTGGCAACACGCCGGTACAGGAAGGTGGAGGGGCCCAGCTCTCTAGGATTTTTCCTGTAATGTTTTCCTTCCGACACTGGACTTTTAATTGTAGTAGTGCATGACTGTTGCTACAGAGATGAGCAGCTGTACCGCATTTTGAACTATTGGCTAACTCTTCTTGTACTTTGCAGATTGCAGCTAAAGAGCTCAACATCTATTGTCACCCGGATCATAACTTTATGACTGCCAGTATACCCACTCACAGACTGTTTGTCCACGTGCGGCGACTTGTAGCAAAAGGATATAAGGTAACCCCTGGCTTTTATTTAATGATGTTAAGTACAGAATAGCACTGAAATAACTTGCACTTGCTGTACCAGAGCCTTATTTCAGCTGAGAAGTGGGAAACTCATTCTCACCTATTTTTGCAATTAAAATGGCTAACTTTCCTTTGTTTCGATTTCTTTATTCTGGTGACTGTCATGAAATCTAAGTAGATTTAAGTTTCCTCTGCTTTACAGACAAGCATCTTCATGTGTTCTGGAAGAGTTCTAGAACAGTTCCTTCTCTCAGTTTTTTATCAAGCTGTTGCATTTGATAAAAATACATTTATATATTCACTCTCTCTTTTATTCTTCCTCACATCCTTGTTTTTCTTATCCCAGCTCATATTCTTTTTCTTTTTTCCTTCCTGTTGTTGGTTGCTGTGATTCTGTGGCTTTCTGTTGTTACCTCTTTTTTTCTCCTTAAGAGAAAAATAACTTGTTAAATTGATTGCGGCAACTGTTCTCTGGCAAGTGGTGAGCTTCAGCTAAATCGTTTCAAAATAGGACAGGAAGCACGGGGGCAGTTAGAAGTGGATAGAGTGTAAAGAAAAGCAGTGCCTTACAGAGTCATTAGTAGGATTGATGCTAGCCTTTGCCCTTCCTGTTCAGCTTTAACGATTCACTTGCTGCTTGCACATCCTAAAAGATCACCGAGTTTATAAAATAATTAAAAAAAATCATTTATTATTGAAAAGTTAACATTCTTTCTTGTCCTGTGTGCCTGTAGGTTGGAGTAGTAAAACAAATGGAAACTGCAGCACTAAAGGCTGCTGGAGGAAATAAAAGCTCTCTCTTCAGCCGGAAACTGACTGCTCTCTACACAAAGTCTACGCTTATTGGAGAAGATATCCTTTGGTTTCACACTCTCTCTCTTGTACAAGAGGCCATAATTCTAGTATTACCACCTAGGTGGAACATGAGTAGCTAGTGGCTGACATGAGAGTGGCAGCAAGAAATAAACTTCCTTTAATTTTATGTTATGGTAAAACATTGTGCTGGATATATAAAGAATTTAACCTCTTCAGGGCTTTAGGTTTGTTGTGAAACAGCAGAGCTTGTGTTTACTGTAGTTGCTTTCTGAGGTCAGAGACTGGACTTGTCAAGTTTACAGTGTTCTGTAGGTCTTGTCTTCAACTGGGTGTTTCACCAGATTAAGAATGTGATTAGTGATTTGTGAGAGTGGGAAGGAAGAAAAATTGACTGGTGTCAACAATTTGTTTTAAGTGAAAATAATGTGATAAAATCAATGGACTGTTAAAAGTCTATCTAGGTAATTAACTCCTGATTGTTATAACAAAGAAAGTGCAAAAATTAGGTAGAAACAGCTTTTAACCAGTGAAGTTATTTTCTTATTTCTTACAGTTCTTGTTTTCCTATTTCCTGCCTTATCTACTTCATGTTTTTTTCTTTAGTTTTCCAAACTAGCACTTCTTAGATACCAAGAGCTAAGAATATTATTAGATTAATGTCTGTGAGTTTGCATTTAAGTAGTAGATCAGGGAAATGATAACACAGTCCTGAGATTTTTTTTTTTTTTAAACTTCTAGTATATTTACAGACTCCCTTGTAATGGTTGGCAGGTTTAGCATTGTGACCCAACCTGGTGGATAGATAACGCAGCAAGTTTTCAGTGCAACTAACCTAATGCTCCTGCATGTTGTCTGCTTTTCAGTTGCTGCGTACGTAGTGCACTTCATTTTTTCTGTTACATGGATGTGGTTTGCCGATAGAATTCGAAATGACAAGGTGAAGCAGCCCATGTGCACAATCTGCTGCTGGTTTAACTTCTGACGTAGCTGCTCTCGCTTGAATGGGGAGACCCACAGACATAGTCAAAGATGGTCTTTGCGTGAGCTGATGTGATCTGTGCATCATTTAACTGCCTGTTCTGTGAAGACAACTGCTGACTCTAGTCCTTATGCTGGCAGACAGTCATCTGAACTTCAATAAAGTTGTAATAGGAATCAAACAAAATAACAAAAGTCAAATAGACCTTTAGTCTAGAAGGCCCAGCACAAAATCTAATGGAGAAGGACTTAGATCTGGAAGGACCTACTAATAATAATCTACCAAAATCTGTGTACTGTGTTATTTTCTTAATGTTTGTTACATGTGAACCCTTTGCTGAAGCTAGATGAATCTCTAGGTGTTGAAGAGGTCACAGCAGATGTCCCTGATAACTACCTCCTCTGTATCTGTGAAAATGGAGAAAACTTAAAAGACAGGAAGAAAGGTGATGTTGTTATAGGCATTATGGTAAGTTAGTTTCACAGCGGAATCAGTATTTTAGGGTTTGTGTGGAGTTTTTGGGGGTCTGTTTCATTTTTTGTTGGTGGATGGGTGGTTGTTGGTGGTTTGTAACAAGGTACAGTTTAGGTAACATACCATCTGTGTGTGAATTTTGATGGCTTTATATTTGAAAACTACAGAAAATGGCTGGAGTTGATAGTTGGCTATTCCTGATAGTAGTTTTCCTTCTGTATCACCAAAACCAAAAAAAATTATGGGGAAATCATTAGTTCAGATGCTTTACTAACTTTTAAACATTTGTTATGGTCAGTATTTTAAAGCTTGTGAGCGTTTTTCTCTTCTGCTAAATACTATAGAGGAGAAGAGACTTACACTTTTATTTACTTACTGTTTACACTTCAGATTTGTAACCATTTTCTTTTATGGTTAAGATTAAAACCGGATTCTTCTACCTGGCAAAACACAGTGATAACTGAAACCCGGTATGCTGGTAATTCACTAATTTAGAAGCATTTAGATTGTTCTTGCATTTAAGCATCACACTGCAGATGGGGAGAACAAGAAAAGCATGGATGACAGTTTTCAGGCTGAATTGCATGTACCTTCCATAGGCTTCGAGTTATATTGATCTGCCTAGTAATAGAAGTTGGGTAGTGGTGTACTGATGGTAACAAGAGCACATTTACATTTTTAAGGTATTGTTATCACATACCAAGACAAAACTGTGGTAGTCTCTTGAAGTTATCGCCATGTTATAGATTTGAAAAACACAATTTTGTGTTTTGATCTGCCACTTTCAGTAGGCATGTGGGTGCTATATAATTTTGTGCTGTACACCATAAATTTTCTTTTTGACTTAACAATTTGAGTGGCTGAAATGCTCCCTGAAAATTTAAATATGCAGTGCATATATATATATAATTTTTTTTTTTTTAATTTGACAGGCAGTCCAACCAACTACTGGAGAAGTAGTTTTTGACAGTTTTCGGGACTGTGCATCTCGCTTAGAATTAGAGAGTCGGGTTTTGCGTCTGCAGCCGGTTGAAATAATACTTCCATCTACCCTGTCAGATCAATCTGAAAAGCTCATCAACAGTATAACCTCCATGAGGTATGTTCTATAGGGATTTTTTTTTTTTTTACATTTTAATTACAGCATAGCTTTTGATAGAATTTAGATCCAGAAGTAATCATGGATGTGTAATTCTGTACAGGCCTGTTTCAGATTGGCTGTAGTTTGCTGCTGGGTTGAAGATTCCCCAAATTCCACTGAGTTCTGGGCACTCATTCTTAAATTTTATTTAGACTGAAATTCATGGCTTTTGTTCCAGGCCTATGAAAGATTTCTGAACTTAAATGTTTGTTGTTTTCATTTAGGTTTGTTGGATTTATTTCAGAGCTCATGGACTTTGGGATCTGGAAGTGGTGTTACATGGCTGTTTTTCTTGTTTGTTTTTATGATGAAGGCATGAAAGTTGTGGGGTTTTTTTCTATATGAAAAACTTTTCAACCAGTATTTCATTCTGTTTGTGCTATTATGGTATCTTGAACTTGGATACAAACTTGGAAGCATTGTGATTGATCATCTGTTTATATTTTGAGTTCTCCCTGTGTATTTCAAGAGTAAATATATTACACATTTTCTGAATACTGTGAAATAAAGACAGAATAGGATGGAATTTGTAAGATGATAGATGAAGGATAAAGCAGTCCTCTGAATATGGTGAACTTGTGGAATGTTGTAGATGCAATTTTTATGAGAAGGTATCAGTTTTTCACTTTTCTTTTTAACCATACAGCTCTGGGCTGCAGAGAACTGTCTTAGATCTTGGCATTTCCATTTTGAATAATCTAATCAGAAAGGATAATATTTTTCTTTTATGTGTTAACAAAGCTGGAGCTAAAGAAAGCCAAAGAAAAATGAATGTATAACATAGGCAAAGTTTTGTATTTGGGGAAGATATAAATATCATCACCCTCCCATAATGTAAAAATAAACAAATCATAGAGTCATCACAGAATGGTT